AGCGCCGGCGGCGGCTCCGGCACCCGGGCGGGGGCGCAGCGTGGGGGGCGGACACGGGCAGGGGCGCAGAGAGCGCAGACCCACGGCGCCCACCGGAACCGAGTCCCGGGCAGTCGTGGGTCCCCAGGGAACGATCCAGCTGCCGACCTTCCCTCTCCGCCAGTCGGCGGCCTCTGCACGGAGCCAGCGCCCCCGGCAGGCCTGCGTTCCCAGGCTCAACGCCGCTCCTCTGGCAGGCCCAGCAGGAGCTGCAGGTCCCAAGTGTCAGCCTTACTTTCCTAAGGGTCCCCTTAAACTTAGAAGCTGTGAGGAGGCAGACGAGGTCTGGACTCCCATTCCTCATCCCTTGAAGATCTGAAAGAATTCGGACTAAAATCACAGGATGGGACAGAGATATGTGCACTTCGATTATCTGGCTTTCATTAAACTCTGGTAAAGACAGGTAGATGGACAAATGCTACTAAGCATCGGTACCCAACCTGCAAATTGGAGCCACCCGGGGAGTTCCAAAACTGCTGAGGCCTGTGCCCCACCCTCAGAGACTGGGGTTTATTTGGTCTTGTGTATAGCCTAGGGTTTGGGATGTTTTTAAAGGTCCCCAGATTCCAATGAGCAGGAACGTTTTGGAACCAAAGCGTTATTAGAGCCAAAACAGTAATATGAAACACTGCTGAACATTTGACGCACATTATCTCATTTAATCTTCGGGAGAGCCCAACTATTACTGTATCCCTTTTACAGAGGGATAATGTTTAAGTAACTTGTGTAAGATTGCACGCTTAATGTCAAAGCTGCTGTAAGGCCCTTGCACAGAAGTACAGAGCTGAAGAATACTCAGACTGAAGCGTATCTTCTCTTTTTTAGCACTGTCTTTGCTGGTCGTGTTTAGCATGAAAATGTAGTGGAGTTTATGGAGTGTCAGTGCATATTATACTAGTTCCCTTTAATGTAAACTCCATGAGAGCAAGGACCTTACTTTTTTTGGTTCGGGTTGTGTGCCCAGCTCCTGGAATATAGCAGAGGCTTAATAAGTATGTATTAAATGAAATGATTAAATAAGTTAATGTGAATTGCAGTATATATAATTAAATATTTGCTACTTCATACTTACCAATCTTCACCCATCAATAGTTAATATAAAGTTTATAAAAAGGGAATCTTTTAAGCACTGAAAATATTTTCGGGGTATAATATTCTGAGTCAGTATTTTACCCATTTTTCCCAGTTAAGATTTAAGCATACAAAATTAAAATAGAAATTTTCTGCTCCTACCTTCTTTTTACTTAATCTTGTTATTGTAAGCACTCTCAGTTTCACTTGTGTTGTTACTATCATTATAATTAGCATTTAGCTCTGTTCTGGAAGATTGGTCACTGACTCTTAACTCAAAAGTAGGCACCATAATACACTTGACTTTGTAGCACCACTACCACACCTGTGTCTGGCCTATGCTGTGCATTCAATTAATACCTGTTGACTAACCAGATGAGTAGATGAATAAGTGAGTCTATATAGAGAGGCAGAAAGGCAAATTAATTAATCATTTCTATTAATATTGATCTTTATACCTCCCTTTTTAATCTAACAGGGGAGTTAAAGCTAGTGTTCATTTTCTTAGTCTTGAGAAAAAAAGCATAGTAATATAGGCCTTATTATGTCAATTGCTATATAATCATTATATATCACCAAACCTTAACAACTTTTAGCCAGAATCTTATTTTGTTGATTTCTTTTCCTTAGAGTAAATATATTAATTTTGTCTGTTCACTATGGATTCTTAGGTCTTATATCCTGTATGTTAACAATGTTTAACAGATAGACTTGTATAGAAAAAAAGGGCAGACTGTTCATTTCTATATCACAGTATGAGAAGCAATGTATTTTTCTGTGTCTTTTTATATGGATATAAAAATTTAGTTCCTTATTATGCATACTTTGGGTAAAAGACGTAATTTCCATGTTACTTTATACCAAGTTGTCGCAGCCACATTATGAGAATATCTTCTCTGCAACAGGCATTTGAAAGTACATACTGGTGAGGATACCTCACCGCTGAGCATTGCTCACCCTGAAGCTACTGCAGTAGAGAGATCCTAGAACCACTAACAGGAGCCAGCCAAAAAAGGTAAGAATTCTTGCCAAGTCAGACTCCCAGATTTCTATCTCCAGAGTTCAGTGGAAGCAGAGTGGTAAGAGTCCTTTTTTTTTTCTTTTTCTTTTTCTTCATTAAATATAAGCAGGAGAAAATATTTGTAAAACTAGTTTCTTGGGCTTAGCGACTCTTGGTTACTTAGTATGAGTACTCATGGATTTTGTTAATTCTCTTTTTCTCTCTGTGTTTGGTGTCTCTCCTTTTATCTTCTAATATGCACTGAGAGCCTGGACTCTATGACCAGTGAGAATAGTTTCTCTCTGGCCTCCACCATCCAGAGAGTGCACTTGCTAGGGTGCACCTTGCTCTCTGCCCAGCTATGCCAAGCTTTCAAGGGAGTTTTCTGTGTCTACGCATTTCCTCCTAGAGATGATAAAAAACAGGTCCCCTAAGTTTTGTTTTCTGCCAGTCAGAGGGTGCATGTACGTCTGGCAGGCAGCCGAGTAGGCTCTGCATCAGAGTTTAGAGAATCTAAACACCCCATTCAAAAGGAGGGAACACGTGATTCCCTGTGTTTTGGAATGGCTGTTTCTAACTCTGGGAGTTAAGTTTACCTTGTGAGGGTTTCATCTTTTTGCTCTCCTTTGGGAATGTCTCTTGCATTCACTCATTCATATTGATTCGAGTCACTATTAAGATCCTACTCGGCAAGACAAGACAATGGATTCTCTGAATTGGAAAAAGTTCTAAATGGAAAAGAAAGAAAAGCTGTTTTAAAGAACTCTTTTACTGTTATAATGGCTAGTCAATAAGATATCCTTAATAAGATGGAAGGACAGAAGTAAGAATGAAAATCAAAGTCAACAGCCAGACAGCAATGCTGACTAAACTGCATTTACCATTGGGTCTTACCAAATTGCTGCCCGCCCTCAAGGATATTATAACCTAAAATTACATTGGCAGTTATTAGAAACATTCCAATTAGTTGAGATCATTTAAAAGTATGCTTAAAAGCCAGGGCTTCCAAATAAAATATACAGAATAAGATACTTATATTTAATTGGTATACAAGAGCCTCCATAAGTCTTCAAAAAATTCTAAAATAGCTTCATTAACAGATTTGTTGCAAAAGGCTAATGAAGAGATAAAAGTTACTTAAAATAAAAGACAATAAGACTGACATTATCCCTTATAGGGGATTGTCCTTTGATACCTTTTACTCCCTGGTCTAAGGACAATAATTAGATAATTTCTTGAACCCTGGGAGTATCCTCAAAAGTTTTTTGTAAATGGATTACCTCCTAAGCCCAGTAAAAGAGGGAAGTAAAATTTGACATTTTTCATTCCTCCTTATATCTAGACCAATTAGTTATTGATCCTTTGTTTCTCAGGGATAGGTATTGCCTATGTCCTAAGGATTTGGCTTGGCTTTCTGCCTGCCTGGGACATGTAGACTGTCAGTTCTTTCTTTTGGCTATCGGAGGGAATGACTCAGGAAGTTAATAACCTTTGCACCCTTTTGAGTCCATCTGAGTCCATGGTATTGTTTCATACTGTCAGAAATAGTTACTGTTTTCCCAGGTGGAACCTGACAGAATATTTGAAAGGATTTAATAACTCTATGATCAAGTATTTAGCCAAATTGGAAGCTGACATTCAGAACCTGATATGAATGGGGGGAGAGGGGGGCTTCTCCTAAGCTAAAATAAAACTATGTACCCAGAGGGAAGGAGAGATTAGAGATGATGTAGTTGGACAGGTAGATCAACCTAGGATGTCACTTAAGTTACAACCAATTCTTTGGGAAATTGAGAGCAATTGTTCTTATCTTACAGATCTTTGCAAAACCAGAAATTCAGTCTAGAAGTAGTTCAAAGCCTACCTATATTTACCATTCACAGTTACTAAGACTGAAGGAAAAAATTAGGAAATAGGGATTTTTTTTTACTGTTTTTCAACAAAATGCTGTTCTGGTTCCAAGGTTGGCTTTTTAAGGACAAATACAAATCTTAAATGTCTTCACAAATATTAATAAGAAAAAGGCTTTAGCCGTCTGAGCAGATAAACTTATTACCTATCTCATGGCTGAAATTTTTAAACTAAGGCCAGGAGGACTGTTTACATCTGTCTATATGTTCATGTGCATTGTATGATATTTTCTACCTTCAAATGATATTGCTAATTTGTAAAAGTTTTATTTAATTGGCTTAAATAAACACTTATATTTTAAAATTCTCAAAAATATAGTGGAAACTAAATGCTTTTCAGGTTCATGTAATTTGAGGGAAATACTTGGTATTAAGCTAATTAAGTTTGTTGGTTTAATTAAAACAGGCATGTCTTTAGAGTGTCTATCATTAAGTATAACACTTTTATTCTACCTGGGCTTAGTCAAGTAAGTTCATATTATTTCCGTTGCAAAATTTGTTAGCAGGACAACTAACTCAATATGAAGAAATTTTTGTAAGTAACCTAAACATAATTTTTAAGAGCAAGTAAATTAAATAGATGTAAACAGAATTCCAGTATTTTAGGTGAACTGTAACAATAATTACGTGCTATGTGTACTTAAAAATAATTTCCTGCCCAGCCGGTGTTGCTCAGTGGCTGAGCATTGACCTAGGATCTAGGAGATCTCAGTTCGATTCCTGGTCAGGGCACATGCCCGGGTTCTGGGCTTGATCCCCAGTCAGGGGTATGCAGGAGGCAGCCGATCAATGATGACTCTCATCATCGGTGTTTCTCTCTCTCTCTCTCCCTCTCCCTCTCCCCTTACTCTCTCTGATATCAATCAAGCTATATTAAAAAAAAAAAATTCCTAAGTCTTTTTGGTAACAATGCTTTAAGGTCTTGCTAAATTAAATTATGGAAATTCATTGAATATTCATATTATTTCCAATTAAGATAAAATAATGAAAATATTAATTACTGAATATAGATTTATCTACTTTTGGCTCCCTATTACAGATACATTAAAGATACTTGGGTCTATCAGTAAACAAGTCTTATGCCTCATTGAAAAACTATACTATGAAAAAGCATATATTTCCAGAAATTATAGAATATATTCTTAAATTTATCAATCTAAACAATACTGGTGTAAGGGATAGTTCACAATTGCTTCCTTTTTTACTTTTCACTAGAAATTAAGGTTTCTAAGGGTTAAAAATTCTAATTAATGAAAGAAAATAATATACATCTTTGATAATATGTATAAAGTATAGAAATGCATTTTGAGGGAATTAAGAGAA